GCAATTAAATATACATGATTTACTACCTTACCTAGGGTTTCCTTCAGCATCTACCGTATTTGTTCTTTGTGGCGCATCATGGGAAACTGCCAAACACAGCCAATCCAGTCGCAATGCTTCAGGATTAAGAAGAGACTGAAGCAGGGACAACCTAAAAAAGAGTGGGAAAATCCACGGGTTTTAAATGGACCAAATATGGAAGTGTGATAAACTTTATATATATACTATTTAAAGGAAAGACTATTTCGAGACAAGTTATGTTTCCTTTAATCTTCAGAAATATTACAGAATACATCCATATTTGAATTTTACATATTGAAGTGTTGCCCATTTCTAGTTTGAGTTAAATTGATACATTACAGTCTAATAAAACACTAAGTCATTAAAGAGTTGTTACAAAAATCTCGATAAAATGGAATCTGCTTTGTAATGAGGCGACGGGAAGAGATTGGTGCACAGAAATTAACTGGCAAAACAAAAGGTTATTTAATGTTCAGTTCCACTCTATTTTTAATGAGCAGGCAAAGTAGCATTACATTTAAAAAAAAAAAAAAACCACACAGCTGCATGATATCCAGTCTTTTCATTACGTAACCATTTCCCAACAAGAAAAAAAGGCACACAGCACACATGCAGCCCCTTTACCTTTCATCTTCTGGCTTTGATTTAACAAGGCTGTCTAAATATGCTAAAAAGTGGGAAGGGTGATGTCTACAAAGCTGCATGATGTCAGAGGGCAAGATTGATGGGTAGAACTTGATCAAGGGCCTTACAGCTGTTTCCCCAAACTTTTCATAGAGCCTGTACAAACAAAAAAACATCTTTAATGCCAAATCACAGCAAGATTGCCACTTTGATAAGAAAATACAACTCTATTTCAAGATTCTAATTTATTTACCAGCATGTTTCAAGTTCCTCTGCTAACACTAGAACTATCATTGCAAAAAAAGTCTCACAAAACATTGAAGAGGCTAGTGGGAATACAAATCCAGAGCAAGGCAAACAGAAGTGAATTGACAGTCTGAAATTTGTCATATTAACCAACATGAAAAAAAGAAAGTCACGCACTACAGACCTTTGAGCATGTGCCAATAACAGAGGACTATCCCAGGGCCCCAAGTCATTTAACAGTTTTAATATTTTCAACATATCTCCATTTTCCATTGCCAAAGTCACTGGACTAGCGTGAGTCAGTTCTGAAACACAAAACATTGTAAATGTTTTAAGTTTTTATTTTTTTTCAACTCAGCTAATTTAAAAAATAATTAAAGAAGAGAAAAATTTCCTTTATTCTTCCAAAGTCCCCATCATGGAAATGTATCTCTAGCCTGCAATGGAAGCAGGTGAGTAAGTCACACTTAAGCTGTGTGTTTGGCTTTGATTGAATTACCATCAATAGTGTTATGGCAAAGTTAACATTATTAAATTGATTTTTTTTGTTAGGGAATTTTTTTTATATAAAAATTTCAAGATAAAGTTTTCCGCTTCTCCTTCCCTTTAAGATTTAAGGCAACTTACTTTTTACTATATAAAGTTACATAACCCATATGAAATTTCAAAACATATGCTTCATGTGTACAGAACAGACCAACCTCAATTTATTTTCAGAACCAACTGTTAATGAACCACAAGTTCAATTTAAAGCTTAAATTACCAACAAAGGACATTATTAAATTCATAGGAAGCAAACTGGGCACGTAAGCCCTGATCTTGCAAAGCCTCACATCCTTAACTGCATGCATATAAGCAGTCCCACTCAAATCAATGCAAGGATGCAATACATACTTTTCTACTCTAAACTTCGCTTAAGCCAACATGGAACAGATTTCTGCATGCCCAAACGTAGTCCTCCATCCAGCAAAGAACTTAAGCATGTGCTTAACTTTCTATGCTGAATCAGGGTTCTGTCAATTGGTTGCCTTGAAGACCCGTCTATAAAGGTTTTGTTTCAGTTTTAGAAGTTGCATTTAGCGGACCAAATTCTGTTCCGAGTTACATCCAGGAAGCCTCATTCATTGGGATTGCAAAGGTATGAGAAAGGGCAGAAAGGACTTCTGAAGAAGGAAAGAATGCCTGCGGTGATCAACTGCATGCCAATATGGGGAATGCTTTTCCAATTCACTAATGATCTTCATAAATGTGCTGTTGTCCAAGCTTTGGAAACAAGCTGAAATATTTGAGCATACTTGTGCCTACTTTGAGGATGCTGAAACTCTTTTCCTAATTTTAGTTTTATATGTTAAATAATTGAAATTATTTGAGTTCAACAGCACATTTTTTCAAGTTCTCTTTGAAATTTGCATATTCTGTTTCAACACATTTGATTCATATCACTACTGTGTTCAGCTAACTGAAGTTGTACTATATATTAACTTGTTTAGAAATAATGTCACTGTAGTAACTAAACAAGAAGCATTTTCCCCTAGAAGTCACTGGTTCTTATTAACTTAGTTTTGTTTATTAAAAAAACCAAAGAGCACTTGTTTCAGAGGTGATTCAGAAAGGAATGTCCCCTCAGGCTGGATTTTTTCCAGAACAAAAACCTAAAACTTAGCTTCAATTGGTTTAAAAGTGAAAACAAAAAGCCACCACAGTCATTACCTTTCAATCCTTCAATGTAAGTTTCCCAAACACTGGGACTGCTAGTGTAATTGATTGTAATACATCGCTTCAGTCTTTTTAAATCCAAGAGAAAGAAATAGTCCTTTATGAACCGACAAGCCAAGACCCATGACACTGTTAGCTGTAAATCCTGTTCAGCACTTTCTTTCGCATTCCCATTCTCGCAAGGAAACACATTTAATTCAAAACATAATGTTGTCAACTCTACTAGGTCCTTTTGAATATCGCGTGCTATGAGACATGGAGGATACACTTGAAAAACATGGTCTGAGGCTCCCTTTGAATTGGCATTGTTTTCACATACTTCTCTGCCAAAATGAGCTTCGCTAGTTTGATCCTGTCCAGTATTTCCTTGCAAGGCATCTGTCTGTCCTTTGCCTACATGATCTTCACTGTGTTGATCTGGTTCAATATTTTCTTCTAAAACCTCACTCTGTTCTTCAGCAAGCACATTCTTATCTTTCTTAATGGATAAGCAGTCATCTGAAAAGGAAGGTTCTTTGAAACCAAATGTTTCTTCCAGATACAAAAACCACTCCTGCAAAACTCCTCTCAAGCATTGTGGTTCTAACAAAACCAGTGGATCTTGCAGTTTGTTTCTGTAAAACAAAGTGGAAATGCGTTGCACTTGCTATTTAATAAATAACCAAGAGATGCCAGAGCTCATCTATTATACATATCAAATGGACAACTCAACCGTTAGTATATTCCTAGATCAGGGGTGGGCAAACTTTTTGGCCCAAGGGCCACATCGGGGTTGCGCAATTGTATGGAGGGCCGGGTAGGGAAGGCTGTGCCTCCCCCAACAGGCTGGCCCTCGCCCCCTCCCATTTCCCGCTCCCTGACCGCCCGCCTCAGAACCCCCAACCCATCCAACCTCCCTCGCTCCTTGTCCCCTGACTGACTCCTCCCGGGACCCCCGCCCCTAACCGCCCCCTAGAACTCCACCCCCTATCCAACCCCCCCTGCTCCCTGTCCCCCGACTGCCCCGACCCCTGACAGCCCCCCCGGGACTCTCACCCCCTATCTAACTGCCCTCTGCTCCTCATCCGCTGACCCCCCTGTCCCGGGACCCCCCCGCCCCTAACTGCCCCCCAGGATCCCACCCCCCCTGCTCCCTGTCCCTCGACTGCCCTCCTGACCCCTATCCACATCCCCGCCCCCCGGGACACCCACCCCTAACCCTCCCAGTTCCCCAACCCCTGACCGCCCCCAGAACCCTCCGCCCCATCCAACCGCCCCCCTCCCCCTGACTGCCCCCAAGGAATCCCCGCTCCCTTACCCAACCCCCCCGCTCCCCGCCCCCTTACCTGCAGCAGGAGCTCGCAGCGGCGCCACCCAGTCAGAGCCAGCTGCGCTCCGCACGCTGCCCAGCAGGAGTGGCGGGCCAGAACACGGCCAGCGCGGCAGAGGGTCTGTGGGGGAGGGGCCGAGGACTAGGCTCCCCAGCAGGGAGCTCAAGGGCCGGGTAGGACGGTCCCGCGGGCCTGATGTGGCCCACAGGCCGTAGTTTGCCCACATCTGTCTTGATATCGGTCATACCAATGCTGTTTTCCTGACTAGTAAGGACAGTAGGAAAGCCACTATATAATTTCCCCAAGCATGCTTTTGGGGATCTCACCTCCAAATGATTCACGTAGCTTGCTGGGCAACCATCCAAGTCTACCTCTAATGCTACAGTCCTCTTTTTCTCAGCAAAACTCACAATTAAGTTATATTTTTAATGGAAAAAAGCCACCACTCAAGTAAGGACTTTCAGATAGCCCAGGGGAGGGCAAACTACGGCCCGCGGGCCGGATCCGGCCCCTCAGGGCTTTTAATCCATCCCATGGGATTGCCAGCCCCGTGGCACAGGGGGCTAAGGCAGGCTCCCTGCCTGCCCTGGCCCTGCGCCACTCCCGGAAGCGGCCAGCACCATGTCCCTGCGGCCCCTGGGGAAGGCGGGGCAGAGGGCTCCATGTGCTGCCCTCGCCTGCAGGCGCCACCCCCTGCAGGTCCCATTGGCCGTGAACAGGGAATCGCGGACAATGGGAGCTTCGGGGGTGGTACCCGCAGGCAAGGGCAGCACGCAGCGGAGCCACCTGCCCCACTCCACCCCCAGGAGCCATTGCCGGACATGCTGGCCACTTCCAGGAGCGGCACAAGGCCAGGGCAGGCAGGGAGCCAGCCTTAGCCCCGCTGCGCGCCGCTGTCACCCCGGAGACGCTTGAGGTAAGCGGCACCAGGCCAGAACCCGCACCCTGAACTCCTCCTGCACCCCGCACCCCAACCCCCTGCTCTGAGTCCCCTCCTGCACCTCACACTCCTCCTGCATCCCAACCCCTTGCCCTGAGCCCCTTCTTGCACACTGCACCCCCTTCCTCACCCTGCACTACCTCCCATACCTCAACCCCCTGCCCCAGCCCAACATTCACAGCCCTGCATACAATTTCCCCACTCAGATGTGGCCGTTAGGCCAAAAAGTTTGACCACCCCGAGAAAGCCGTACAGCATGTCTGGATATACCTGCACAGCATCATTTACTGCAGATATTTACAATAAAAGCTTTCTGCCAGAGTAAAATATAGCTCTATGCTCTCTACTTACATAGCTTCTGTCGTTGCTATCTTGAGATCTCTTAGCCGGTCCTCTTCTTGAGGCTGGCTCTGTAGTTCCAAACTAGAAAGAAATATAAAGACAAAATTATGCTATCTTTTTAAAACAGAGGGAGAAATAGCATTAATTCTGTTATGAGAAATGCAGCTCTGTTACTTTTCATGAGAAACAGACAAATGAGACTACAGTAATTATGGAGCAGCTGAGGAGCAGAAGAAAAAACTTTTTTCATCTTGTCAAACATTACCTATGAGGGTTCTCAGATGTCAAGAAACAAAACTAACACAAATTCATTGCTTAAAATATTTCAATGATTTGCCAATTTAACTCCTGATAACAATTTAGCGCTCGTTCTTTATTCATACGACTAAGCCACTACAGTGTTTTCATATTCCTTTAAACAACCCAGTGTTGAGGGTGATAAAGCTGCTTGTTCCTCTTTTCATTAAAAATAGGATGTAGGCTTTAAAAATTCACATGCGTCAACACGTCTGGTTAGGTACCCAGAAGGGCAAGTAGGGAACTATATTAGTTTCCCCTTCCTCAACCATTCCAGCACCACTAATGTAAACTCTTAACATCCATTTTCTAGAAGAGTTTGACATCTGAACAAGCTTTGAGGTAAAAAATTGAGAAAGGAGGCAGGAGGTGGGGAGGGTGAGACCAGATGAATTCATGGAGCCTCTCTATACAGCCAGATGGAAAAAAAATCTCCAACAGAATCATGTGATTCCCCATTCTATTGAAATGAATGGGATCATTGTGGAGACATGAGTTCCCAGTCCTTTGGGCAGCTGGCACATTCGACTAGTAAAACCATGGGAGCTTGAACTTACTCGTTTTCATCTTCTTCCTGGGAGTATGCAGCTATACTAGCAGTCACTTCATGAGACTCATCATCATCATCTTTCATTTCCTGCCTCACTCTGACATCAGGACTCATATGAAGGGTGCCAATCTTTTCAGTAGTTTTACGTACAAAGCTGGAAACACTAGGAGTCAAAAGTTCAAACAACTGAGATGGCAGTAGGAGAAGAGCTCATAGTCAACACAATAAATCTCGGCCTTTCTAGCCAGCCTCTCACTTCAGAAATCTTTATCATCTAAAAGAGGCAGGAAGAGAGGATGAGCACACTGGGAACCAGCAAGTATCAGTCAGTCAGAACCCAACATGAAAAAATGCACGTTGCACTCAGTAAGAAACATCTCAGAACTTATATGCTTTAGTCAAGTTCTTTACTCCTAAGATTTTCAGGCCCCAATGGAGATCACAAAATAAAACACTGGAAGTTCGGTTTTGTGCTGCCTGGTAGAGGGGATTTTACAATTATGCAAATGCTGAGATTTTTATTTGCAATGAGAGAGGCTAATTTTTCCATGATAAAGCCTCTAAATAAGCACACGCACAAGAATTTTGTTAATTATCTTTTAATTTGGTCTATAATGACCTTCACAGTGACAAGAAAATTATTCAGGAAATGTACAGTTATGAAGAAATTCGAGAGCATTCTAAGAGGTCCTCTGTTTCAATTATCCATTCCTAACCCTTAGAATGTCTCATTCCAAAGCAAGGCCTACCTACATTCCAAAACAAATATATTAGTCCATAACACGCAAGAGTTCTTTAGAAAACCAGGATTCAAAAGCAACTTCAAGTTCTTGTGCTCCAGGTCAGAACAGGCTTAGCCGTGTCAGAAAGAAAAAACAGTTACTTACCTTTACGTAACAGTCATTCTTCAAAGTATTTTGCACAGGTCCATCCACTACAGGTGACTCACAAGCAGATTAATGTGGAGACAGTTCAGAGTCTACCTGAACAGCTATGGTGGAACAAGCCATCCAAAACTGGCATCGTTCCTGGACTGACGGGAAATGGCATAATGAGCAGCAAATGTATGAACTGATGACCAGGTGGCTGCTTTGCAAATGTCTCAACCGGGTACATGCGTGAGGAAAGCTGTTTGTGCTCTAGTTGAATGAACCAATACTCCAGGTAAGAGGTGGTGTGACATAAGCTAACTGGTAGCACAGACAAGTGCAAGAGAGGATTTCTTCCTAGATTTCTGAAGTGGAAACCGGTTGATCTTTCACCCTGGCCGCAAATCACAACAAAACTGTGCTGAGGATCTAAAAGGTCTGGGATGGCCCAATTAGAAGGCTAATGCTCTCCTCACATCCAACAAATGACGTTTTTGCTCATCTATACACATGTAGGCTTTTGGGGAAAAGTTGGCAAATAAACTGCCTGGTTAATGTGGAAATTGGAAACCACCTTTGTTAAGAATTTTGGATGAGAGAGGAGGTACACTTTATGCTTATGGAAAACTGTATAAGGAGGCTCAGAAACCACGGCTCTCAATTTACCCACTCTCCTTGCTGAGGTTAACGCAACCAGAAATGCCACTTTCATAGAGAGATGGAGCAGGGAGCAATTCGCAAGAGGTTCAAAGGGAGGTCCCATTAATTTTTTTTAGCACCAGGTTGAGATCCCCTGCGGGAACAGGTTCTTGTACCTGAAGGTATAATTCAGTGGTTCTCAAACTTTTGTACTGGTGACCCCTTCCACACAGCAAGCCTCTGAGTGCGACCCCCCCCCCTTATATATTAAAAACACTTTTCAATATATTTAACACCATTATAAATGCTGGGGGCAAAGCGGGGTCTGGGGTGAGGCTGACAGCTCGTGACCCCCCCACGTAATAACCTCGCGACCCCTGAGGGGTCATGACCCCCAGTTTGAGAACCCCTGGTATAATTCATCCAACCCTTTTAGAAATATGATAGTTACAGGGTTGGAAAAAGAGTGATTTATTACCCAGTAGAGGGTGGAACGCTGAAATAGCTGCCAAATGGACTTTAATTGAACTGTCTTGATGTTTGAGGTGCAACAGGTAATCCAAAATATGGTTAATGGAAGTCTGCACTAGAGAGACACTGTTTCTGTTGAGAAAAAATAGAAAAACGTTTCCATGTAGCCAGATAAGTACACCTAGTTGAAGGATTTCTGCTACTCAGAAGGACTTCCTGAATATCTGTTGAGCAAGCTATTTCCAATAGTGCTAACCAAGAGGCATCCCTGCTGCCACGTAGAAGGCCTGTAGGTTGGGGGCAATATTCCCTTCAGTTTGTTTATATCTCCCCCTTCAAATCCCACTTCCCTGTCACTCTTCAGGGACCACTCTGGCAAGACCATTCTTCAGCAGGAGGTCCAATCTCTCCTAGCAGGAGCCTGAGAGAAAGTTCCTCTGTTCCTCAGGGGGAAGGGTTTTTATTTGTGCTGTTTCCTTTGTGCCAAAGCAAAAAGGCAGTCTTAGACCTATTTTACATCTAACAGAGTTAAACATGTACCCGAAGAAAATAAAATTCCTTAGTTACCCTAGCTTCCATTAGTCCTTCCCTGGAACAGGGCGACTGGTATACTGTCTCCGACTTAAAGGTCACTTACTTCCATATCACAACCCGTCCAGACCACCAGAAGTTTCTCAGGTTTGTAGTCAATGGAACTCATTACCAATTCATTGCTTCCATTCAGCTTATCAGGAGCCTGTTGCATTATCACAAAGTGCAGGGCGCAGGTAACTGTATCTGCAGATTCCTCCACCGGGACGACTGACTGGTGAGAGGCTAGTCCAAGTCTCAATCACTGTCCAGCATGACCATCATTCAGTCCACCTTCAAAACACTAAGGCTGTTCTTCAGTATGGACAAATCAGTTCTAAAACCTGTGCAAAGAACAGAGTTTATCGGAGCACGCCTCGATGCTACAAAAGCCAGAGTGTTTCTGCCCCTGTCAAGTCTCCAAATGCTCAGAGACATAGTCTTGGATCTAAGAGCACATCCAGTTACCATAGCACACACTTGGCTGAAGCTTCTGGGACACATGGAGGCATGTACCTGCATAGTACAGCACGCTAGACTACACTTCAGCCCTCAGAAGGCTTCAGGGATGGCTAGCGTCAGTGTATGTCCCCTGCTGACGTAGTTTAGACAGAGTGATTAGTGTTCCATAGGTAACTTTATCCTCTCTGGACTGATGGACAGACCTTTGGCATGTTTGTGCAGCAGTTCCCTTCGTTTCTCCGCAACCAATGCTCAAGCTGGTCATCCCTGGGTGGGACACATCAAAACCCTGCAAACTCAAGGGTTGTGGCCCTCGCAATTCGTATAAACATCAGGGAGCTACATGCTACCAATCTAGTCTGTTTGACCTTCCGTCCACATACTGTGGGGGGAAAAGTCTGCTAGAGTTAACGGACAACACAGCAACTATGTCCTATGTGAACAGACAGTTCCTTCTAGCTGTGCCAGGAGGTAATTCTGCTTTGGGAGTTCTGGATAACCAACTCCATTCACCCCAAAGCTGCTTGCTTCCTAGGCGAGCAGAACACATTGCCAGGTCCTCCTCTGCTCACCACGAATGGTCCATCATCCAGTTGTGGAGAACTCCCCAAGAGGACCTATTTGCAACAAAGACCAATAGAAAGTTCCATCAGTTCTGCTCCCGAGGGGGTCACAGCCCAGGTTCTTTGACAGAGTTTCGTGCTCACAGACGAGCTCCCTCCTGTATGCATTTCCTCTAACACCATTACTATCCAATGTCCTGTTCAAGGCCACGCAGGATTGTGCTTACCTCATACTAATTGCACCAGCATGGCCTCAGCAAAATTGGTTCTTGGTCTCCCTAGCAACGCTAGTAGGATCTCCTCTGCCTTTCCCATTGGATTCAGACATGATTTCTCAGGCTGGAACATCCATAAACCACAAAGTTCTGATGGAGAATAACCCTCCCATCTGGTTTGGGACATAGAAGACCCCACTTCCAAATCTGACCAAGATGACCGAGTCCCGCAATAACAGCAGAGTAGAACCCATGTAGACAGGAGACAGGTAAGCTGAACCCAGAGGTGGTGGTACTCAGGATAGTGACAGTGGCTTGCCTCTGGAATATACTGGCCCCTTAGGTATTGGAAGCGGCATCAGTACTGCATGCTCTTGCTGACCTGCTGTAGGAACTACCATTGCTGAAACCACACTTGCTCTGCTGGGGATGCCGGTACCAAAAGGTTAAGCAAGTCTCTGTGGCAGCGTACCTCTGACATCATCAAAACCAGAATTGGTCTTCAGTCTGCTGTGTTTGTATAAGAAATTCAGGGGTCAGTCTCAGCAGACCTGGCATAGGTTCTGGAGTTGACAAACCCCCCTTTGTGGCAGAGGAATGCTCTAGAAAATGCTTCCCCTTCGAGTCCCCACAGAGTCCTTGCCTCTAGCTGGCCTTGCTGATCGAGGTACTGAGTCCCTGGAAGATGTGTCTCTCTTCCTTGATACCAGAAACACAGTACATGGTGCTGAAGACGTCTCAGGAGGTGCACTCTGTACTGATGGCGCCGGGCTTGGAGTACGCTCTGAACCCAATGGCTCCAAAGGAAGGCAAAGTGCCACCTCCATAAAGAGATGTTTAAGTCTTGCTGCTCTCTCTTTTTTTAGAGTGAGACTTAAACTCTCTAAAAATATGACACTTGTCACTGATGTGGGACTCCCCCAAACATTTTAGGCAGCGGGGCTGTGGGCCACTGGGCCACTGACCGGCAAAGTGCAAGCATACGATCGCCACAACTTGAACCCCAGAGAACAAGGCATGGCTCCAGTACAGTGCCTGCTACTGAGAATCAAATTTGGTCCATAAAGAATCTAAAAACTGAAACCTATCACTAACACTAACTATAACTATAACATGAACTATAACTAACTACCAACTAAACAACAGACTATATACAAAGAGCGAGCGAAATCAACATGTAATAGCAAGACTGGAAGTGCTCCAACAGCCGTCACCGTCATTTTATACCTGCAAGCAGCAGCGAGTGATGGCAGAGAGTGCTTGAGCCTCCCTGATGGGTACTACTCAGAGAAAAGGTTCTCCAACAATTGTGCAAGGCACACACACACCTACAGTGGAATGGACATATGCAATCACTCGAAGTAGAACTTCTGGATTCTCTGGTTAAGCAGTTAACATTCACCACTCAAAGAGCTCCTCCTAGTGGTGACACAGTATAACACAAAAAGAGCTGCTCTTCAAATTTAAGAAGAGGGAATGGGTTTAAACCCATTAGATTACTGATCTTAAAATACAGTGAGTGTTGAAGGGAAATTTTTATAAAAGATTATAGACCACAAAATAAAATTTGATACTTGACCCAAGCCTTTAAACTGGAATAACTAGAATGTAGCATATGAATACTTATGGATTTAATTTTCTGCCTGTGTAAAAATTAATGTTCTCTGGTAATAAACTTTTTTAAAAGGATATAGCTTGATATTTGGAAAGATCAAAATGAAGGTGTGGATAGCCACATAAAGCTTATGGATGAAGCTTTCAATAGATTAACAGGCATCAAGTAATTTGATTAAAACAATATTTTATTATTGAAGGGTCTGGGAGAAATACACTTAAACTGAATGAAAGGGCTAACCCAACATTTCAGGATAATGGGCCAGCACTTCTGGTTTTAAATAAGATGCATTATATTCAGAGCTTTGAAATAACCAGTTTTATGCAAGCTATTTCCCCCCCTTATTTTAGTGGCTTGCTTGTTTTGTTTTTTAAAGGCGCACATTTGATTTTTAAACGTAAGACTTGGTTTGTTCACATACAGGATGTATAAACCACAGTTGATTCCAGATACCTGTGAGGAATGCATAAGATTTACTGAAGGAAGGAAAGGACAATTTAATTGATTTGGGGTACATATCTTGACAATACATACCATCATTAAAATACACAGCAGGTCCTTAAAGTCTTCAACAATCTAAGTACCAAAATGCTAAATCCCATAGCCACATTCAATAGACTCACTCAAAGTAGGAAACACTACCCACAAGACTATGGTATGTGTTCTTAAACCTCCATTTAAAACTCAAGAGTGAAATCCTGGCTCAATTGAAGTCAATGGCAAGACTCTTATTGTCTTCAATGGAGTCAGGATTAAACTCTAACTTTCCTATCAAATTTGATTTTATCTTTTAGCAAAGTATGAATCAATATATGAATTCAGAAAAAAAGGAATGTAATGGATGAACAAATATCCTATGATTTTTACCTTTCCTTGACAGCTTGGAGGGAGACCAGAGGAGATGGTGAACGAAATGACAATGGAATACTGAATGGGAGAAAAGTCTCATTCCGATCAGTCTCAACCACCACAGAAGCATGAGATGCGTTGTCTAACAAACGGAATTGAAATAATAAAATTATGAAGCAATGATTTGACAATGAAACATATAATCCAGTTATGACCCACACTTTCCTTTAATAGGGAAATTTTACTCTTGTGACCTAAATTGTGTTTTCTTTTTTACTTGCAGGTTCTTTCATGGATTTTAAGAGAATGGGAGACTGGAGACAGAATAGGGACTAGCAATATACACACACAGTCCTTGGGATCAAGGGCAATCTTAGCATTACTGGCCTTAGACCTAGTAGGTATTTGTTTTATTAATCTGTTGAAGCTGTATTTAATAAAGCGGCAACTGACAAATCAGTGGCAGTAAGAGGAGAACTCTCGATGGATGACTATCTTCTGTACATGGATTTCTGGCCTATTCTGAGGCAACAGCTCAATGCTATTTTCAGCAGGTAACCAAGATGGCTAAAAAAAAAAAAAAAATTTAACCAATATGTCATATTAAACTATGTAGTGATATTTCATGAAAGTTAGATTACATTTGATTATACTGGTCTATACCAGACTAGCCATTACTAAGATGTCCATCACCATTGCATTTAAGGAGATATCCATGTGTAACTTAACCCAAACACTGTGGCTCTTCATATCAGCCTGATATGAGTAACCAATGAGTAACCAAAAGAGCCTCCACCATGTCCTTTACTACTACCATATATACTCGACCATAAGCCAGTTCGTTTATAAGCCGACCCCCCAATATGGATAAGTAAAAATGGAAAATTTTTATGACCCATTCATAAGCCGACCCTATAATTCAGGGGTCAGCAAACTTTGGCTCCCGGGCTATCAGGATAAGCCACCAGTGGGCCGAGATGATTTGTTTACCTCGAGCATCTGCAGGCACAGAGGTAAACCTAAGTAAACAAAGCAGTACCAGCTGCTTACCCTGACAGGCCAGGACGGCAACTGGTGGGGAAATGTTTGGAGGGGGGGCAGGGGGGGGGGAAGCTGGGAGTCAGGGTAGTAACTCTGGCCCCGCCTCTTCCCTTCTGGCTCTGCTGGCTGTGCTGCCTCTCCTTGCTCCCTCTGTTTGGGGGAGGGGCTGTGTCCCACCTGTCCCTCTCTATACCCATTCATAAGCCAACCCCCTTCTCTGGTGCTTCCCTTTTTTACTAAAAAAATTCGGCTTATGAACGAGTATATACGGTATTTTGCATACCAACAACTATGGAGTGATTTGGTCCATTTGTGCTTGCTCTCTACCCTTTAAAAGAGGCAAAGGCTGATGAGGTCAAACTGAAACCTAGTTACAGTTAGAAACACAGATGGTAGCTATGGTCAGCCTTGTGGCAGCCATCTTATTTTAGCACAGCAGGAGTACTAAGGCAGGCTTTCTGCCTGTCCTGGCACCATGGACCACGCTGCCCCCCGAAAGCGGCCAGCAGCAGGTCCGGCTCCGAACGGCTCTCGCTCGCAGGCACCACTCCCTCGCAGCTCCCATTGGCTGCTGCTGGCCGCTTCTCGGGCACAGCACAGTGTTGGAACAGGTAGGGACTAGCCTGCCTTAGCCAGACAGCACCACCAACAGGACTTTTAACAGCCCAGTCACCGGTGCTGACCAGAGCCGCCGTGACCCAGTGCCTTACATTCTGCGACCCAGTACTGGGTCGCGACCCACAGTTTGCAAACCACTGATCTAAAGCACCAAATGAAGCTCACATACACAGATACAGAAGCATCTAGGACTTTTATAGTTTGAAATAACCAGCCACTTGAAATCACTAACTGAGCAGCAATAGGAAAACTAACTCCAAATGTGTAAAGCCAAGTCTCTTCACTTGAAAGTTTTACTTTCTAAAATACATTAAGATGGCATAACCAAAAAGTAAAGATGGGTGAACAAATATCACAAATGATAAGTGTAAAGTTCATTGTCACAAAACATGCATTTATTAATAGTACAAAACTACCTAAAGATGGCATTAGCTCTTAAACCTTTATTTTTTCCACTCGCTCTTGACACATATTGTGAGAAAGTCCACCAACACCTTGGCAAAAAAATTGTTGCACTATGAAATTTTAGTTCCTGACACCAACAGATTCACTAAAAAGAGAGGCCAAAGAAACCCTCTGACATATTTTCATACACTTCAGTATAATCCACCTTGATTTTAGAAAAGAATGAGTCTAACAATACAGCTGCATTCTTCACCTTCCCTCTTGCAAGATCAGGGAGATCACAATGGGCACCATCCCTTCCTACAGGACACTCCCACTCTGCAGGGGATAGCAGGTTGATTCCCTGATGAGAAGGGAGTTTTGCTCTCTGGACCCACTTAATTTTAGGTCATCAGCAACCCAGGGGTCAGGAGAAAAGAGACTCCACAACTTCTCATAGCTAGCAGCTCTAAATTGGGTGGGTGAGGTTGAAGGAGTTTAATATTTAATAGGAATGGACCTTCAGGTCTGCCTCATCCAGCTCTTCTGGTGCATCTGAAGAGACAGCTCACTATAAAAAAAAAAAAAAAAAAAAAAAAAAAAACCCAATACTTTCCCTATAGCATTGGAGTATATTCCCAGCAGAAGCCCAAGAGCATCTCCCTCTCTGCAGGCCATTCTATCCCCCATTCCCCTCCCCAGCTTTAAACAGCTTCCTCTATCAACACAGACTGGCAGCAGCATAGAAAGGAGCTACTAGCAAAGGTGTGTTTTTTCAGAAAGGAGAGATCACACTACTCCTTGAAAAGACAGAGAAGCCTCTAACTTTTGTCTAGAGATGGATATTTGTTGGGGGAAGAAAAGAACAAAGCTGGTTGGGTGGAATAACAGGGTTACTCAAAAGGCTGCACCCCTCATACACTAATGTGTAAATGTACAGGAGGGAATCCCTTCCAAAAAAAACCCAGAAAAGAAACCCTGCAAGAAAGTTAAAAGCTCTTGACCCACACGTAGCAGCTCCCTGGCACCAATATAAGGCCTGGCTCAACTAGAGTTAGGATAGGACAACAAAAGCGGAAATCAGGCTAGCAGAGGCTGGATTAATATTGACACAGGGTAGTTTGCCTTAATGCTAAGAATAACCTAGTTGAGTTACCTACAGAAAAAGGAAATCTTGAGTGAAATCCTGGCTCTACTGAAATAAATGGGAGTTCTGTCATTTAGTTCAATCGAGTTGGGATCTCACCCCTAAAGTTTTCAGTACAGGGTTTTACTACAAGAGGCCACAGAAGTGGTGATTTTAGGTTTACTACTAGCAAGATGTGGCAAATGTGATTCGCCAAACAGCTTATAGGGTTTAATCAGGGATATCTAAATGGTGGAAGACAAATGGAATTTACAGCTATGAAGGGTTTTGTTGTTGTTTTAAACCTAGACACCATACCACCAGCTACTTGTTGAACACAAAGAAGGCAATTGAAAAGCATATTTTCATTGCAAGCCATTACCAAGCTCCACCTGCTCTTCTTCGTGGTGTGCAGTAAACTCTTTAAGTCTCTCATCTTCTGACAATGTTTGGCTGTTTAAGGAACAAGAGTCTTCATCTGACTGACTGCCTCTTCGACTAATAACACGATAAATTCCAGAGTCTAAGACACTGAAACTTTCCTGTAGGGCAAATAATAAAGTCACATGAGCCACAAAAATATCCTTATTAACCCACACTGAGAATTCAGTGCACCACCAGAGCTTTTAATCTGAAACCTTGGAAATAAACACATATGCAACATAGTTCAATTTCTTTATAAATATACAAAGTAAGAGTTAAAATGAAACTTTTATAGGAAGAGTAACTACAAAAAAACCTGCAAGTCTGGTGGGCTGATCACAAGATGAGGAACTAAGAACTCCTCGGGTTTAATATCATCTCTGACAAAGCCACATTGTATCTTGGACAAGTCACTTCCTCTCTGCACTTGCATATAACCGGAGTTTTGGTTGTGGTATAACTGCAGTTAATGGATTCTTAAATAACTAGTTAGCTAACACAATTGTAAGTGCAATTATAGATCCTCCACAAAAGTTTGCTCCAAGACACATGTTTCTCCCTGGTCATGGTTCAGCTCAAGCTGTGCATTTCTACATCTCTACAACATGGATAACCTCTCACAGGATGTTGTGAGAATAATTAGTTGTCTAAAGTGCTTTGAAGATGAAAATAGCTATGTAAGTGCTAAGTATGAAGCAAGTTTTTCCTTTTCACAAGATACTAAAAGTTAGGGTCAACACCTAACCAACCACATGAGTAAGACAGCACTTTTGTAAGTAAGATTAAAGCCAATTTTTAAAACTGAGGAAAAGTCTTATGCCCAAATGATGTCACATTTCCACACAAACCAGCATTTTCTGAGGAATGTTACAGCACTCTAAAATATAGCTTTAAAAAAGAAATACTGTCATGCAGGAATCATGGTGGGTCAGAGAATAGAATTAAGTAGCCCTAGATGAACATGAAATCTATCGAATCATGGCGTTACAAATCTAGAAAACTGCATAATTAACATTTTTAGGTTCCCACCCCAATTAGTCTAGTTAGTAATAGACACCCTAAGTATCTTGCAGTGTGATTGTAGCCACGTTGGTCCTAGGATATGAAAGAGACAAGGTGGGTGAGGTAATACCTTTTATTGGACCAGCTTCTGCTGGTGGAAAGTACAAGTTTTTGAGCTATGGAGAGCTCCTATTCAGATCTGGGGAAGGAAATCAGAGTGCGTGAGCTAAATACAAGTTGGGACAGATTGTTAAGCATAAAGGATAATGCATGTTGTAGGTGGCCACTTGAAAGGAAATGGGCAACAGAGGGTTAGATTGTTATGCATAAGGGATTTGAAGTGGACAATTAAGGGTAGCAGGCAATGGGGGGTGAGGGGGGAGAAGAGAGGACGGATTACAAATTGTTGTAATGGACCGTAAAACTAGTGTCCCTGTTGAATCCATGTTTTTCGGTGTCTAGCTGAGTTATTAATTTAAGTTCCCAGGCTCATCTTTTGAAGGTATTGTGGTATTTGAGGGCGAGTACTGAAAGAACAGATATGGAGCGATCACTTTGTGAGAAAAGTTTGCAATACGTGGTTTTGTCTTTGATCATTTTTTTGTGAGAATTCATTCAAGAATGTAATGATTGACTGGTTTCACCCACAAAGTTGTTTTGGGGCATTTGATGTACTGAATGAGTTGCGATAAGCATGTGTAGGACCCATGAATCTCAAAAGGTGTGTTTGTCGTGTGAGGTACTGATCATTGTAACAAGGGAGATATGTCTGCAGGTTTTGCATCTGTTATTCTGGCAGGGGTTGGTGCTGCTTTGAGTTGGCTACAGTGGGGGGCTTGCTTCTGATGAAGAGCTTGGCAAGGCTGGGGGGGTTGTTTGAAGACAACAACAGAGTGCTCAAGAAAGGTTTACTTCAGGATGTGGTCCGCATCAAATATGGGTTTTAACTGTATGATGATACCCACTATGGGTTCCAATGTGGGGTGGTAGGTGTCAACTGGGAACTTAAATTTGTAACTGGTGGACAACAAAAACCATGGGACTCAAGAGGAACACTGGTTTTATGGCTCATTACAACAATTTGTAATACACTCCCACCACTGCCTGCTACCCTTAATTGCCCACTTCAAACCCTTTATGCATAACAGTCTAACCCTCAATTGCCCACTTCTTTTCAAGTGGCCTCCTACAACGTGAGTTAACCCTTATGTTTAACAATCTGTCTTAAATTGTATTTAGCTAAGGGCTGGTCTACACTGGGGGGGGGATCGATCTAAGATACGCAACTTCAGCTACGTGAATAACGTAGCTGAAGTCGAAGTATCTTAGATCGATTTACCTGGGGTCCACACGGCGCAGGATCAATGGCCGTGGCTCCCCCGTCGACTCTGCTACCGCCGCTCGCTCCGGTGGAGTTCCGGAATGGACGGGGAGCGCGTTCGGGGATCGATATATCGCATCTTAACGAGACGCGATATATCGATCCCCGATAAATCGATTGCTACCCGTCTAGACGTACCCTAAGACACTCTGATTTCCTTCCTCAGACCTGAATAAGAGCGCCGTGTAGCTTGAAAGCTTGTACCTTTCACCTACAGAAGTTGGTCCAATAAAAGATATTGCCTCCCCCCAACCTTGTCACCATAAATATCTGACCACTATCAGTGAAGAAAGGCAAATATAATATAAACCTTTTTTCTAATCTGCAGAGTGAAGGATTATGTGACACTGAGCCAGCGAGGGTTAAGCAACCAGCAGGCTGGTTGAAACAAAATCAATCTTTAAGGACATATTAGAATAGTACTGAAATGCTAAACAGGACCATTCCTTGTATATATTTAAGAAAGCCATGTTAAATAGACCAGAGTTCTTGAAATATAAACCTCTACTATTAGAGAATTAGGAACAGCTATTAATTGTATTTGTCTGTTTACCTATATCTTATTATAAATTTAACAATGTAATCTAATTAGCTTGTAGATGCTAAACTTTAGTTCCTGTCTGTAATGTTTCATTACTATATTCTATTGATTCAGAGATCAAAAAGAGATATTAACATTTAGATGAGACTTGTGGTGTAATAATATCATTGTCTTTATTTCTCTTTGAAGTTTGTAGTACACTACCTATGAACCATTTGAATGGGTAATTTGCGATATGCTAATCAATGCAACTAGTTTATCTGCATATACATAGGAAATGCTTTGAAGCTAAACTTCTACATGTAACAATATAGTTCCTATTCTTCATCGGGAAGGCGCCTGCTGTGATCATTTGCTGTCAAAAGACTTATCTGCTGAGCTTCAGCTATAAAGGACTCGGGCCTGACCCTTACTATTTCAGATCTGCTTAAACTTTGATGGGGAAGTTCAAGTCGTAAGACTGAGGTCTCCAGGTGTACCCTGAATTATCCCTACAAATTCTCATGGAAGAATTTGAGCAAACTCTACACATCGACTGCCTGTTGGACTATAACCTACTGAACTGATTGAGGAAGGACTTTTACAAATCAGCATCCTCACTATCTCTACTGACCTAAGAACTATACTCATATCTGTACGTATAATGCTTTTTAACCACAGTAATTCTCTTTTCTTTTTAAATAAATCTTAGATTAGTTAATAAGAATTGGCTGTAAGCGTGTATTTGGGTAAGATCTGAAATATTCATTGACCTGGTGGGTAATGTGTCTGATCCCTTGGGATCGGTAGGACTTTATATATGGTGAATAAGGTTTTAAATAATCCTCACCATATAGACTTGGCTGTCTGGGTGGGAGCCAACGGTTGGATTGCTTAAAGGGAACCATTTTCAGAATCATCCCTCCAGCAACCACGGTTACAGATGGCAATAGACAAGCTTATAACAAAAGGAGGAAGAACTGAATTAGGGGGAAAAAAATCAACTTTATATACACCTACATGTGATGAAATACTGCTCCTTCTGCTGCTGCATGCAGAATCTAAAGGTTCCAGCTTTGATATCAATTCTTCCAGTTGGCTAATGACATCACTTTGGGTTGAGAGGTCCAGCTGCGATTTCAAATGCTCTAGTTTGTCTAGAGGCAAAAATTTTCTTGCCTAACAATACAAAAAGGAAGAGGTTTGTTAATATTCTTAATGCTCATATGAAACATAACAGAGTGGTTTTAATTTATTACCCATGCAATTATAGGCTAAGTTTTCTAATAAAGGAGTAATTGCTTATTAGTTCTACAATTATATTTCAACATGACAAAAAGCTCCAAAATCCAAAGTGCGAGCTTTATAGGATTTGGTTTAGGACAAAAGGACTTAACTGAATAGATGTAGTAGAGAGGTGGGAAGAGGTCATAACTTACTCTGCAGGAAATAATAGAGTTCTGGAAGAGACAGCAGACTCTGGCAGCAAGACTCCAGAAACCTCTTCTTAGCAGACGTTCTACACAACGCTCTACTAGCAGAAGAGAGAAGTGCGAGACTTTTCCATTCGTATGCAGACAGAACAACTCATTTCTGTACACTGCTATATCCTGGATATCTATATAAAACAGAGGAGTAGAAAGGTCTTAGGGATGAATGTACTTATCAGTATTTCCTTTCTGGGAAAACTTGGAAACAATTTACAGACACAAAATGGGTGAGGTAATGTCTTTTATTGGTCCAAATTCTGTATTGGACCAATACAATGTAGAACAGATTTAGTGTGACACTCTGAGTAAGTTCCCCAGACCTGAAGCAGAGCTCTGTGTAAGCTCGAAAGCTTGTCTCTCTCACCAACAGAAGTTGGTTCAATAAAAGACATTACCTCAGCCACCTTATGTTTCTGATATCTTGGGACTGACAAGGCCACAACCACATTGGAAACAGTTTGTACTTTTCAATCTGCCTACTAATGATTACAAAAAATTTCCATTCCTGAAATACACCAGTAGAATACGGGATAACAATTAGATGGCACTATGTTAGTATATAATTACCATTGCATACAATTAAAATCTATGAGTCCTTTGACCTTTGCCAAGTTACTTGGAAGAATTTAATTACACATTACATACATATTTTTTCTTTGAAAAAACAAAAAAATGCAGAAACTACATAGCACAATGACAGGTGTTCAACTATTTGAAATTAATTAGTTGCTTGTTAAAGATTTAATTAATTTGATGTACAAGAAACACTAAATGTGCAAATACTCCATAACAGTGGCATTTTGAACTGTTAATATCAAAGTGCAGTTAAATACCTTTAGAACATTTATTAGTCCTTTTGTGTAACACGGCAGTTGTTTAAATTGAAGAATGTAAATACAACTTAGAAGAACACTATACAAAAATCTCCTAATCTGTTAGGGTTAGATCCACATCAGATATTCTTTGAAAGATAATAAAATGGAGTAAGGAGAAGCAAGGAAAGGAAACCACAATATTTATGATGTTTCATTGAATCACACTAGGCCATTTTCTTTTTGAGATTCAATACACTGTTCCCTACTACCTTTATTTCGCAAGCATCCAAACAATTTGTAAAGATTAGTTTTCAAAGTTGTTTTTTTTTTAAATATTCAAAAATTTGTCTCAAATTGCTGCTGATTAACTAGAAAGTTATTAGTGAATGTTATTTAACCCCCTTGTGGAAACAGAAATTGTAAGTACAGGACTTTAGAGAGTCAAAATGTAATGAACAATGTAGCAAAAACTTAAGTTCCTTAAAGTTCACCTTTTACTTCACTCCAAAGTAAAACTTGAACATTCTGAGGAATGAAGACATAAATGCCCCTTTCTGTCCACGTCATAACACAATGCTCGCTGTAAGCAAAGAAAAAATATTAAGCATTGTTTCAAAGTACTCATTTCAGAAGGAAATTCTCTTGCCAGAGTACTCCATTTAATAGTGTATTTAATTAATCTATTATTTTTTATTTAGAGAACAAGATCTGAACTTTAAGACACAGCCTCCTGACCTAACATCTCTGTTTTCTATAGTCTTTAACCAAGCCCGCATAAAGGGAATTCAGGTAGGAAGATTATTTTGTACATGTTACAGTTAAAAAAAAAAAAGTATTTAAAAAAACTGACTTTTGGAGAAGGTTTGCAGATTTACATGAAACTGTGAACCTGTAAAAAAATGTGTTTAATGGAAATGTTGAAAGTTAGTACAAATTTATATTTTTTTGGCCAGATTTTGAAAATAATTCACTAGACAACAGGATTGCAGGTTTTTTTTTGGGGGGGGGGGGGGAAGTGGGTTAAGAGGAATTGGAGCATGGGAAGAAGAGGATAAACAAATCAAAACTACTGCTCATGGGCTTTGCAGGATGTTAATTTGAACAGATGTGATGAAAGCTAACACAAAGATAATATTGTTAATAAAGCAGAGTGCTGGTAAATACTTACGTCAAATATAACAGTTTTGGGAAAGACAAAGACTGGAGGGAGCAGGCGGAAGTATTATACTGAGGATCCAACCTATAAAACATATAATATCTAAATGGTAATTGACAGTAATTCATTCTAATTACAAAACACATCATGTTAGCAAAATATTTAAGCCCTCAGTCCTGTAAACACTTACACACGTGCTTAACTTTAAGCATGTATTTAGTCCCACTGAAGTGATATGTATAAAGTTAAACATATGGGTATGTTTGTAAGATTGAGGCTTTAGTTATTACTGTCACTTATAAACAAAGTTTACTGGCAAAAGACCTACTATTACTAAAGTGGAATACCTAGGAATGTCAATATTTACTAAAGTCACAATCTGACTATATTACAATTTACCTCTAGAATTAATACAGGGTGGATGGATTAGCATAATTCTTTTAACTAACAGCAGTAATTGTTTTTCAGTGGCATTTTAAATTGCCATGAACATGGAAGGAAGAGGTCATCATAAACTACAAAAGGACTCAGAGTGGTAGCCGTGTTAGTCTGTATCAGCAAAAAGAACAAGGAGTACTTGGCCCAAATAAATTTGTTAGTCTCTAAGGTGCCACAAGAACTCCTTGTTCTTTTTACAAAAGGACTGATATTTCAAAACAGGAGCCCAAGACCTCTGGTTTCCTTAACTGTTGAGATAATTTACAGTAAAGGTCAGAGATCAGTTTGTTTAGAAGTTTTCCATCAAAAACATTTAAAAATACAAATATAGAAAAAATTAATTATTCTATGAAATAATTATATACTTATATTTTCCATAGATGTAAAGTACACTGGAAGTATTTCTGAGAAAGCTATGACCCTTACCCCAAACCTAACCCATTCCAAAAAGAGTCAAACATATTACCAAACGGTAGTGAGTTAACAGCTCTATGTTTAGTAATAGTGATTTTAGAGCATCCAAAAGCAACACTGTAGATTTATAACTTTAAAATTGCATCTCTGCTATGGAAAATGTAACCCAAGAGTCAAAGTGTGAATTCATTTCTCTAATCAAATATGACAACTTGCTACACCTGCATTTAATTGGAAGCCAAAACTGAATACAAAATAAAGAAATTAGTTCTTAAAGCACTCATGCACAGAGCTACTGCCAACCCGAAGATATGTAATAAAAATTGACCACTTCTAATTGATTTGGCAAGCACTGCATTAGTCACTACAGAAGCATGAACTTTTGTCATGAATCAGATGGTTCTCCCCCCCCTTTTAGAAGAACACAACTTTTGGATGCAAGTGGGTGGGTGAGTGGATGCTATAAGGAACAGCTGAACACATTTCTGAGAGCTGCAAAATGAAAACTCTAGGCTGCATGACAAGCTGAAGCTTTTGTTCATGACTTGACTTTTTATTACTATATTTTGTGACTTTCAGAGAGTAGCTTTCACAGAAAGAGTCACGGGATGAAAGCATGACCCGATTTATCACTAACCACCATCAATACCACTACCTTAGAGTAATAACTGGGAGAGGAGGCGACGAGAGCAGCTGTTTGAATTGATGGGTACTTAGCACCTCCCCTTCAAAGTTCACCTCCCACATCCTTGACCCAGGACGTGCACAATATATTAATGGCTGCTGGCTCCCACAATTCTTTCCAGCTGGGAAAAAACAGGCACCATATTCTCCATCTCTTTCTTTGTTACCAATTTTCCAGAATTTCTCTCTAGTGGGGGGAAAATATATATTTAGACAATATAGAAAACAGGCTCTGTTTTGTTTTAACATTTTCTTGGAGGACTGTATCCACCAAAGGAACATTCATAACTGTAAGCTTCCAAAATATTTTCGTTTATATTTGATATGGTAAAGTTTATTTATAAATTAAACCGAAAAATCTCACCATTATAATTCAAAGTATAGAGCAATGAGATAGTTGCAGATTAACAAAAACTAAACCTGTTTGCTTGATATGTCAGTTTTCCATTATTTTTAAATGTGTACTTTATGAAGACATTGCATCCTTTTTGCATTAATTTTTACTATTTATTTTGCTTTAGCAATCAAAGTAATTTCTATGCTATTTGCCCAGCCAGTTGGGTCTATCTAACTAGGGTCTACACAGCAGGACCAGTATTTTCCTTGCTGTCTCTGCTTAACTCAAAGTTTAAGGGTGTCCGTTAAACTGCATGTGCAGTGTAGACACTAAATATTGTACCTTTAGTTTACAACTCTTCAGAAAAGCTATAATTCATTTTAAAACCATGAAACCCAACCCCTAAAATCAGATGCAAAACCAAGAACTACGTTAATACTATTAAGGTAATACTGTTACGGGACGACATCTGGTCTACAATATGTCAGTAAGTCTCTTCAATGATGAGTATGTCTGACCAGCTAAATGATAATTTCGAGTGATGAAATTTACGAATGATAAATGTAAATGCTAAAGAAGAATGATCTTTCAGCTAATCCATTTGAATCAGTTTCCAGCTTTATGAGATGTCTTGATACTTTTGCAGTTAGGTATAACTTACCTCTCAGTATCACACAAGTAGGAGCGAGTAAGTGAAGAAATAAGCAGTCTTCCATCCAAATAATCAAGTTGAACTACACGGGAGTCAACAGTGGTTATAATCTGAACTGGAAACATCACAAAAGCAGCTGCTGCCTAAAGGAACAAACAAAAACACCACATACTGGGCTTAGGTCAATGTTGATAATATTCCATAAAAACAACATTAAGAAAAAGTTACAGTTGCAAAGTGCTGCACTCAAAGATCAGAAAATGGCAAACTTCAAGCTGTTTGTGGTTGTTCACATTAATTTAACTCTGCCCTGTATCCAATAACGTACACCATTACTTTTCCTCTAAAAACAAGACCCTGGATTTGAGAATGTTTATGCGTTTGAATAGCCCTACAGATTTCAATGGACTACCCACATACATACAGTTATTCACATACGTGTTGGCAAGATGGGAGCCTTGTTTATAGTGTCTTGTAATTTTTCCAACCATCAATGTATACTTATACTACATTGTTGTATATCATAGTCCCCTCTGACTTTTTTTTAAGTAACTTCTCTTTCTATATAAGTGTCATTACCCATGCAATGCAAATTTTCTTTTAAGCCAGCAATAGTCTCCCTTAGGTGTATTCCCGTAGGGAATAAAAGTTATCTGCTAAGGTAACTTAGCGTCAAATTTAAGCGACCTACAAATGCCAGCAAGTTTCAGCGTTACTCTGCAGTATGTTGTCTAAATACCATTCACCAAATAATTCTCACATAGATGACTTGCACGGACTGTGGGACATACATCAGGTAGCACACACCTGGGCTCTCACTCATGACGACATTGATGCAGCTGAACCAGTAGTAGCACAAGTGGAAAGTTTGTTACAATTCTCTAATGTAGACAGGCCACAGCCTGACTATAAAAGCTTTGGGTATTATTTAGTTTCAGTGGCCAATTAACATTTTGGAGAAAGCACGTCTTCAACAGGCCAATCCCTTCTAGTGAGGATTTCATGCACACATTATATATTCCAGAGACATTTTCTCCCCTTGTCCCCCAAGTAACCCAGTAAAACCAGGAAAGAATAGAGTTGACATACTTGATATTTCTAAAATAAAACAAGCAGATTTTTTTCTTTAATACAAAGGCTTTCAGGCCTCTTATAGGTAATACTTTATACATTATAAATAAGGCTATAGATTTGTCATGGCAGGAAAAAAAGAGTCACAGATAGCATGATTTTCCCATTTATCTGTGGCTTTTCTTTTTACGTCCATGACTCACCCCACAACATCAGCTCCTGCCCTGCAGGGCTGGGCCCAGCTCCCCGCTCCAGGTGTTGCAACCAGGTGTATGGGACTACAGCACCACTCAGGTTTGGCCTGCCCCTCTATCACAACAAAGAGGTGGCTGGGCCAAATCTGAGCCGTGCTGCAATCCCGCATGCCTGGTTGCAATGCCCGGAGTGGGGAGCTGGGGCCAGCCCCACAGGATGCAGGCTCTGCTGCTCCCTGTGCTCGAGGTGAGTGCAGGTTGGGCTTGCTCTGAGGCGCCCCCCTCCCCCCTCCCCCCCCCCCCTTCCCGGGCTAGGAATAGGGTTGTGGTGTCGGAGCAGAGGGTGTTGCTGCAGATGGTCAGTGCCCCCTCATTTGTCAGGGCATATTTTATCAAGAATCACAGAGCAGTCATAATAAAGTTAGTAAAAGTCACAGGCTTAGCAACTGCTCCATGATTTTTTATATAAAACGCCCTGACAAATCTGAAGCCCTAATTATAAAATAGCAAAAAAGACAGAAGCTGGTTTTCTAAAAGTACTTTGCAGATTTAAGGCTAAAGGTATTGTTCAGATCTGACATGATATGAACCTCAAAACCCGAACTTCCACTTTCCTATAATTTTCAGTTCCAGTTTTGCTCTTTTTTACAATTGTTCTGGTAACATGTTTAAATGTGGAGTTGTGACATGATTTGGGACTTTCCTTTTGTAAAACTTATGAATTCTGGTTCATATTATTAAATTGCTGTACCACGGAAAGCCTCAGTGTATACTGAATCAGACATTTGATAACAGGGACTGTATTATACATGGCACAGATCATAACTAGACATCTATGACAGGAACATCAAGAGTCATTAACATTTTAACAGGTCTACCTTGGCCATAACAGTTACCTACACGGGGAGGCTGTGTTGCAAGAAACTAGTGTTTTCAGTCTGGACTTCAGACAGGCAGTAACCAAGCAACAACACACCTGACTATGGATCTGGATCACCTGAGGGAGGCTTTGAGGCTGACTAGAAGAGTAACATGGCAGAGGAACTGGAAAGTTATAAATGGACACCGTGTGCTCTGAGTAGTTCTCTCACTGAACAGAACAGTCAGGAGGAAGGAAGGAGAGGAGGTCCTGGGACCCTGAATGCACTAACCAAAATCCAAACAGCTCTCAGCATGAGCACCTGAGGGAGGGAATTGCGTAAAGGTATTTAATTTTGCCTATATCTGTTTATCTCTTGTGATTTATGAATAAAGCATAACTACTTTAGAAAGTCCTTGTGCATTACTTGCTTTAACTTCACATGTCCCTAAAGGATTAAACGATGAACCAGAATACTCATGAGAATGGAGCTCTGGGGAAGATGTGCTTTAGCAATTGGGGAGACTGGAGGGTTTGGGGGGTCAGCACTGATCCTGGAGTCCAAGACAGCTCAACCACAAGGTCCCATTCCCCATAAGTGGCATCAGAGAGTTTATGCCTGGGAAGTGTGCCCGAGAAACCAGAAGCCTATCCAAAGGAGCTTAGCAGCACATGGATCCAGCGTGTGGGTACAAACACAGCTGTCTGCCAAGCATCCAGTGGGAGAAGCTCAGCCAGGACTGTGACAAAGTGTCTTTTGCCTTGTCTACACTTACGGCAGTGTGTAGAGTACAGGCAATACACATGTAACTACATGCCACAGTGAAAGAGGGCTGCGTTCACACTTGTCACTGAAGTGTGTAGCTAGACATGGCAGTAAAAAGCTCTGGCAGGGGGAAACAGCAAGGAAAGTCTCTGGCGGGGGGGAGCTGCTGGAGTGTTTCCCTGCTGCCTCCCCACTGCCAGAGCCTTTCCGTGTGGCAGGGAATGGACTCCGGCACCACGACACAACACTGTTAAAAACAGCAGTGTAGACATAGGAGGCAATGCTTGAGCATGTAGAGAGCTACGTAGAGTATATACTCATGTGTTTAGCAATGGAGGGCACTCTACTCTACTCACCTAAGTCATGTCTACACGGCTATTTATACCTATGCTAGCTGGGTGTGCAGTGCCTGTATTCTATATGCCGCCGTAAGTGCAGACAATAACTTAATATCATCCTGTACAGTGTTGGACTCATTCTACAATTAAGCAGAAGTACCATAATATGTGGTGTATCCATCTTTTGATTACTTAAGACTATTTAAAGTAACCGTCAAGACAGAAATTGTGGATTTACACTCAGACTTCTAAAAAGAAATTGCATCACTGTGCAAAAAAATCCATCCTGAACTCAATGTCTCTTAAAAGTGGTAAATCGTACCTCCAAATTGAATGCTAATGTATTTTAGAATATTTACATTATATTGCCACTTGCTGGACTAGCTATGTATACTGTCAAGAATTGCAGCAAACATTTATACCAGTATCTAGTTCATCACTCCTGACTAGTCACTAAAACGAGCAGAACTTAATTTGCTAGTGAATTCTTTCCCCCATCCTGATTTTACTAACAAACATGGACACACTGAATCTGTGTCTCTATCTGTTGGAATCTCCTCTCATTGCAAAGAAAATGGGTAATATTTTACCTTCCCTTGTTTGGATGTATTAATCTTGATAGCAGACACCTTTCCCACATGATCTCCTACAAAAACTCGAAGTGCGGCTGTATCCCAACAAAGAGATGTGACTTTTTTGCCTTTGTGCTCAGTGGAAACATAAATCCGCTCTGGCTTTCCACGACGCTCCTGATTGAGTTCCCAGACCACTACAAGGCCTTGACTGTAATAGTTAGGAGATTAACATTTTTAAGAGAACTGATCTTTTGAAAGTGACAATCATTTATAACAGTAAATGCAAGAAAGAGGCAAGCTAAACAAAGAATACATTTTAATATAAGAAGTTGTGTTTGAATGCTGTGCATATGAGAAGTGTGAGGTTGACAATTCTGAAAAACAAAGTGCTACATTTATCCAAAGATAAGCACAATACAAGCTTCCACACACGAACCTACCAATGTACATCAGCCCTGACTTGGAGGGTTGCTCACTGAAACCTGGGCCTCTGTTCTGAAACTGCCAATAAAGGTGGCAGTTGTGAGTTAAATAAATGTAACTAACTGGAATTTCAACGTATAAATGTTTTAGTTACCCATTTCACTTTATCAGGTCAGCGAACACACTTTCACATGCCGCTGAAATGTCTCGGGCTTAGCTAACAGGGAAATTGACCAACATGGCTATGGTGGAATACACTCCACCCGAGAAGTTGCTTTATAGCCTTGGGGCAGGAAGGGGAAAATTAATTAAATCAAATTTCTCACCTGGTGGCAACAGCAACATGATCTTCATCATGTAAACAACAGGCGACCCGGGAAATGGCACCTTCCTGATGCAAAAAAGACCAGTCAAGTGATGAAGTGACTACAGTTCCAAGTGCAGTAATCAAGTTAGTTCTCATTACTACGTTTAGTTATACACAGTTCTTATCCTCTACCTGAGAACTACAACAAGAGATGAAAGTCAGTCTACATAGTAGCTTCGAGTGCTCTTGGATTCTTTGCCTTCTCGTCACTTTTTTTAAGTGGAACTTACTGGTTCTGAAAAATGTCCAACTGACAGTCCTGGAGACTGAAGACCTGTGGTTCATTCATTGAAGAGGAACATAGGTAGTGGCAATGAAAATTACTTCATCTGACATGACTACGCAATATCTTAAATTCTGGACTAAGGGAACCAGCTCCATGAATGACAAGGGTTCAGTTTTCAAACCCATTCAATTCTGCCAATGATGAGGGTTGTTTTGAGAATACAAACAGCGATGCACAAGGAACCAAAATGAGTTTGTGGTTTCAATTCACCAACTATTGTTAGACTGTAAAGATATCTGATGGCTACTGATCTGGATTGGATTCTAAACTGATGAACTCAATGCAGAAGGCTCATAACGAATTACCAATCCTCAGTGCAACCGAGACCAACTGACAGCCTATTTTAGCACAGTGAAAAAGACAGTCTCCTGCACGTGGAAGTTAAGTATACCATCTGTATTAGACAGCATCCTCTTAACTCTGTGCTTCAAGTAACAAAGAAGATCTTTCATGTGGCCCTTGAGCCAACTGGAAATTTGTGGTTATATTTTTGAAGAATTGTACACAACTCAAGTGTTAAGGAGTACTTTGAAAAGTAACCAAATAAAGGGTAAATCCTGGCATAAAATACACAAGGATACCCATAAAGGTATAATTAGATCTAAAAATGCTCCTAAATTATGTCTGTCTCAAGGACTTGGACAAGTGAAAGACAGAGTTAGCACTGAAGGAGATACATTTACAAGAAGACAATGAAACAGAAATATTTGTAATAGAAGTGCCTCCAAATCATTTGGTTGACAAGGAGCTTTACTGATCCCATCACCGGCATCACAGCAGTATTAATTCTGTACTTTTTTAGAAATCAAGACTTGTAAATAAATAAAACCTTTATTCATCCATCTTCCCCCTACAACAGTGAAAAATGAACAGACCATTTGATATGCAATCACTTCATTATTAGTATAATACAGTCTCAGCTTTTTGAAAGCGAAGCCCCATTCCTCCCCATAGGAAAATTAAATCCATCATTCCCTGCCTCCAACCCTAACACATGTTGTTAAAAGCCAATGAGCCTTTAAAATCTTAATTTATATACTTTCAACACTTCCTCCAGCCCAAGTTAGTCCTTTGAACATGCCACCAACTTTGGGGAACACTGGAATAGATAGATCTTCATAAGGGTGAAGGGTGCATAGTCTACGCCAGGGGTCGGCAACGTTTGGCA